ATTCCAGTCGCCGGGAGCTCCCGACTGACCCGGCTCTGGCTCCTCTGCTGAGGCTCCAGCAGCTCCTGTGGGTATTACTGAGCTGTGCCAGCCTTGGCTGCAAGCCTGGCATCAGCACTGGCTTGTGTTGAGCCCAGCCTGGTGCTCTGATCCCAGATCAGAGCGTGGCAGCTGCAGGTCTCGTGTTAGATCGGACTTACGGGATCACAGAATCCTAAAATCCTTTGGATTGGGAGGGACCTCAAAGCTCGCCCAGTGCCACCCCCTGCCATGGGCAAGGACACCTCCCACTAGCCCAGGGTGCTCCAATCTGACCTTGGACACTTCCAGGGAGGTGTCCCTGCCCATGGACAATCCTTAATGTCCCTTCCAACCCAAACCGTTCTGGAATTGTAATATTTTCATATTTCCTTTTTCTCCTGAGCCCCCTCCTTCCTGCACCCCCTTTCCCACTTCCCACCAGTGATTCCTGCTCTCCTGCAAGGTGTTCACCAGCCCTCCCTTGCCTTGGGCCTTCCTGATGCTCTCCAAGGAATCTGCTGGGCCTGGAGCTGCTTTGGGAGCAGCTGCCAGGGAAGGCTCACAGGAAAAGGACAGTGTCATTTGGGAAAATGAGCCCCAGAAACGAGGCTGATTTGGGAGATTTGGGGTTTGCTTCAGTGGCTGGGAGATCCCAGAGAACATCAACCCCCCCCGGCCTCCTGTGGGGGCAAAGGAAAGGGAAAAGGGGGGAAAAATATGGAAAAGGGGGGGGAAAAATGAACCAGAACTGATTGACCAGCCTCTGGATATAATGTTGTTGTGTCCCCCTTCCCTGCTTGGCTGTCTCTGAGCAAGGAGAGGGATAAAAACAACATTCCTAGATCTCTTCCCCACGAGGAGTTTTATTTTTCTGGCAGAAAACAGCCCAGGGAAGCCGAGGGGGGATAAACATCAAGGAAGAGGAGCAGAGGGGGTTTGATCCCAAAACTGGGGAGCCCAGGGAGGAGTTTCCAGCCCCTCCAGCTGCAACTGGTCCAGGGGAGCAGGAGGGGAGGACAAACTGTCCTGAGTTCACCTGTGTGCTGCCCTGAACCCCTGGAGAGAACATTTATCCCTGGGATAACTGGATTCCAAGAAATTCGCGGCAGGAATTTACGCAGGAGAAATTTCGGGAAGGCTCCTTTGGAAAGGGATTTCCTGGCAGTGCTTTTAGAGGGATTAAATCCTGCAGGGCCACGATAACCTCGACCTCTTCCTTCCAAACCCTGGGTCTGGGAGGTGTCCCTGGGGGTGACACTGGATCTGATTTCCCTCGGGGGCTTCTCTTGCTCCCAGAACTCCCCAAATCCCCTCAGGGCTCCAAGTGTGGCCAATTAATGTGAAAAAAGGGATGGGGGGAAAAAAACCCCAGAGCTGATCCAATTGATTTCAGGAGGTGGGATGAGGATGGAATGAATTCCAGCTGCTCTGTGCAGTTCAGTCCTCAGGGATTGCAAGAGGACTGAACAGCTCAGGTTGGAAAATCTCATCCTGGATGTTCCCAGTTGGTCACCAGGGCAGGAATTACATGGGAAAAAGATCTAATTTTGTTCCTTTTTGTTGGTGAATGAGTTTAAATGAGAGATTTTGGGTGGAAAACGGGCTAAATAGTGCAAAAAAAAGAGGGTGGGGGAAAAAAATAAACCCAGAGTTGATCCAACTGATTTCAGGAGGTGTTTGAGCATGGAATGAATTCCAGCTGCTCAATCCTCAGTGACTGGAAGAGGAGCTCTGGGTGAACAGCTCAGGTTGGAAAATCCCATCCTGGATGTTCCCAGTTGGTCACCAAGGCAGGAATTACATGGGAAAAACATCTATTTTTTTTCCTTTTTGTTGGTTAATGAGTTTAAATGAGAGATTTTGGGTGGAAAACGGGCTAAATAGTGCAAAAAAAAAAGAAAGTGGGGGAAAAAAATAAATCCAGAGTTGATCCAATTGATTTCAGGTGGTGGGATGAGGATGGAATGAATTCCAGCTGCTCTGTGCAGTTCAATCCTCAGGGATTATAAGAGCAGTGAACAGCTCAGGTTGGTGAATCCCACCCTGGATGTTCCCAGTTGGTCACCAGGGCAGGAATTATGGTGGTAAAACATCTATTTTTGTTCCTTTTTGTTGTCTGCAGGATGAAAGGTTTTGGGTTGGAATGTGGTTTTCACTGGGATGAAACACTTTTAGCACTTTTTATCTCCTTTTTCCTGGTCCTGGACAGCAGGGAATACACAGAGTGGATGGTGCTGAGTGTGTTAAATTGGAGCAAATTCTGAATTTAAATGTGATTTATGGGTTCTCAGCAGGGCACGAGGTCTCTGTGTCTTAGAAAAATAGAAAATCTATGGAGATATATATATGAAAATAGGCTTTTTTGGTCAATCTTCTGTCCTAGACCATCCCCAGTTTGAGGAAAAAGAAGGTTGTTACCTTCCAGCTTTTGGCCATCAGCAGTTTCAGACATTCCTGTATCTAGGAATTTTGCATCCAGGTGGCAGTTTTTAACAGCTCCTGGTGGATTTGCTAATTTAATAATTCATTAAATTGTCTGATACTCTGTTGGATCCACTCTGGGATTTGCTTACAGGAATTGTGCTGCATTTTCACCCCTCCTTGTTCCTCCTGGGGCTGAAATTCTGCAAAATCAGAGGAGAAGGGGGAAAATGTGGTGCTGAACAGTTAAAGTTTCTCCAGCAGCTGGAAAATTTTCCAGCTGTGGGTCCTGTCCCACCTGCTGTCCCTTGAACCCAAATCAGAGCCATCCCAGTGCCTGATAAAGCAGATTATTCCCAATCCCTGGGGGTCACTCAGCCTGGTTGTACTTCCCAAGCCTCAATCCCTGAGGATTCCTCACTGGAATTCCTTGGCAAGGGCTGGAAAGGAGGGTTGGGGACAGGAGGGGACAAATTCAGCCCCACCAGCTCAGCCCAGTTTGTCTTGGGTGTTTGATGGGAGTTATTCAGCATTGGGTGTTTAATGTTTAATTAATCTAGGGATTAATTTTCCTGCAAATCTCTTGGGAATAGATATCTTCAAGTGGCAGGATGGAGTGAAAATCTATATATATGTGTTTAAAACCACGTCTCAGCCTCTTTGCCCAAGAAAGACGTGCCTTAAATACACTTTTACCACGAAAATCAGTTTTTCCGGGGGGAGAGGAGAGAATTTGGAGTTGGTTTTGGTGGGTCTTTAAAGGTCTGGCAGGAAATTTAAGAGCTGTATCCCAGTTGTCCTGCCCAGCTCCAGGCACAGCACCTGGAGATTCATCTCCTTTCCTGGGAATGCAGGCTGGAGGCTGCACATCCCTGGGGCTGGAGCTGCCCTGCTCCCGGGGCTGAATCCTGGGAATGCCGGAGGTGGGAGGGGAGAAATCCCGAGGATTTGTGGGATCACTGCGGGGCTGGGCAGGAATGACAGCGGGCTCTGCCTCCGGGGGGGGAATTCTGTGTTTCCCGGGAAAACTGAGCTGGGGGATGTTCCCTTAACTGTGGACGGGCCAAACATCTGGGAAGGGGCGGCTTTGTTGTGCATTAACGTGGTTTGGGAAGTGACTCCCACCTGGATTTAGTCCAAGGACACGACAAACTAACACCTGTTTTCCTCGGAGTGCCCTTATCAGACCTGCCCCTCCCTCCGCCTGTCCATCCCCACTCCAGCTGCTCAAACATCCCCGAAAGGGGTTCTGGCTTTATTTTTAATTATTTTTTATTTATTTTTAATTTATTTTTTATTCTATTTTTTATTATTTTGTATTTATTTTTATTTATTTTTATTTAAATTTTTTTATTTTTTCAATTCTTTTTTTTATTTATTTTTATTTTATTTTTATTTTTATTTATTTTTATTTATGTTATTTATTTATTTTTATTTATTTGTATTTAATTTTTATTTAGTTTTTATTATTTATAATTTTATTTTTATTATTTTTATTTAATTTTTTATTTTATTTATTTTTATTTTATTTATTCTTTATTTTATTTGTATTTATTTTTTAATTTTTATATTTCATTTTTATTTATTTATTTTATTTTAAATTCTTGATTGTTTATTTATAGTTGTTATTGTTTTTATTTTTTATTTATTTAATTTTATTTTCATTTTATTTTTCATTTTTCTTTTATTTTTTTATTCTATTTATTCTTTATTTTATTATTTTTATTTTGATTTATTTATTTATTTTTTATTATTTTTTTTTTATTTTTATTTTTTTATTATTTTTATTTTTTTAATTTGGCTTATTTTTATTATTTATGGTTTTATTGTTTTAATTTTTTTATTTGGTTTTATTTGGTTTTAATTTTTTTATTTGGATTTATTTTTTTTAATTATTTATTTTTATTTGTTTTATTTTATTAACCCTCACTGTGTCACTTGGAGGGAGTTTTGCTGGAGAACCAACCGGCCTCCAGCTGGTTCACGTTCCTGCCTTTGCAAAATGAATGAACTCAGGAGGAACCTTAATCCTGGAGAGAAAGGGCTTGGGGAGTGCAAGGAAATCCTGGAATGCCAGGATGGTTTGGGTTGGAAGGGCCATTGAAGATCATCTCATCCCACCCCTGCCAGGGGCAGGGACACCTCACACCAGCCCAGGTTGCTCCAACCTGGCCTTGGACACTTCCAGGGATCCAGGGGCAGCCACAGCTTCTCTGGGAAATCCATTCCAGTCCCTCCCCACCCTCACAGCCAACATTCCTTCCCAATATCCCACCTAAACTTCCTCTCCTTCAGCTTGAAGCCCTTCCCTGTGTCCTGTCCCTCCATGCCTTGTCCCCAGTCCCTCTCCAGCTCTCCTGGAGCCCCTTTAGGCCCTGCAAGGGGCTCTCAGCTCTCCCTGGAGCCTTCTCTTCTCCAGGGGAACTTCCCAGGGTGATGTTCCCAATGGCTTTTCCCTGAGTTTTTGGGGTGCTGTCACCTCTGCCTGGGGCATCCCCCCTCTGGACTTTTGTAGAGCCTGAAGGTCTCCCCGAGGAGGTGGAATTTGCGCTGGAATGATGACGACAGGTTGAAATCCTTAAGAGGAGAACATTCCTTGCTCCACCATTATTTCCTAGGATCTCTTTTCCTCATGGATTGGGGCACTCAGCTCCAAAATTGCTGCCTTTTTGTGCGTGTGTGACGGGAGCAGCTGCTCCTTTGCCGTGGAGGTGGATGATTCCAGGCGGTGCCTCGCGGGAAGCGTCGACTGGGATTGCAGGGAAAACTGGGAGTCACCAGGCAAGGCTGGAGAGGAAGGGCCCCTCAGCTCAGGAAGGACACTGAGGGGCTGGAGCAGGTCCAGGGAAGAGCAACAAGGCTGGGGAAGGGACTGGAGCACAAGT